ATGTTATCTTCTAAGACAAAATCTGTGAAATGATTGGAGATAATTCCCCACCAAGAGACGAGCCAGAAACACTAAAACATAAGAAACATCAACATTCAGCATTCAGAGTCTCTCCAGATCCAGGGAGGACCGGCCAACATCAACACTTAGGACCTTGCAACGTATGGTCTCCTATCCCAGCAACACAAACAACTGGAATCACACACCAGGGGAGCACAGACCTGGAATCACACACCGGGGGAGCACAGACCTGGAATCACACACCAGGGGAGCACAGACCTGGAATCACACACAAGGGAAGAAACACACCAGGGGAGCACAGACCTGGAATCACACACCAGGGGAGCACAGACCTGGAATCACACACCAGGGGAGCACAGACCTGGAATCACACACCAGGGGAGCACAGACCTGGAATCACATAATAAGGAAACACAAAACCTAATTTGTAAATATTATGTATTTCCCGGCTTTGTTATTGATACATTTATTTACACACACCGTTGGAGTGTTGACATTAAATTTGACAAATAGAGAAACGCTTTTAAGATAGAATCAGATCGGGCTGTTCCAAGAATTGGATATGGTTATGATCACTCAGGAGCTGGAAGGAAGAGTGCATGTGATCAGCAGTGACAGCCGGAGCTGGATACATAATGAGTGTGATCCGCAGTGACTGTTATGGTCATGTGATAAGCAGTGCAGCCAGAGCTGGATACATAGTGAGCGTAATCCGCAGTGACTGTTATGGTCTAGTGATCAGCAGTGACTGTTATGGTCATGTGATCAGCAGTGACAGCCGGAGCTGGATTCATAGTGAGCGTAATCCGCAGTCAATGTTATGGTCATGTGATCAGCAGTGACAGCCGGAGCTGGATACATAATGAGTGTGATCCGCAGTGACTGTTATGGTCATGTGATAAGCAGTGACAGCCGGAGTTGGATACATAATGAGTGTGATCCGCAGTGACTGTTATGGTCATGTGATAAGCAGTGACAGCCGGAGCTGGATTCATAGTGAGCGTAATCCGCAGTGACTGTTATGGTCATGGGATAAGCAGTGACAGCCGGAGCTGGATACATAGTGAGTGTGATACGCAGTGACTGTTATGGTCATGTGATCAAGCAGTGACAGCCGGAGCTGGATACATAGTGAGTGTGATACGCAGTGACTGTTATGGTCATGTGATCAAGCAGTGACAGCCGGAGCTGGATACATAGTGAATGTGATCCGCAGTGACTGTTATGGTCATGTGATCAGGCAGTGACAGCCGGAGCTGGATACATAAAGAGTGTGATCCACAGTGACTGTTATGGCCATGTGATCAGCAGTGACAGCCGGAGCTGGATACATAGTGAGTGTGATCCGCAGTGACTGTTATGGTCATGTGATCAGGCAGTTGGCGGGCCAGTAACTATCTGACCTTGGGGGCCCCTGTGTGCCGTTTCCCAGCTCCAGAGTCTTCTTCAGAACAGACAAATAAGGGTCAACATAAACTTCCTATAGATCAGACAACTATATACGGTGAACATTCTATGACTTCTATGAGCACAGCCATAACCGGCCCCCCTCACAGCTCCGCCCACTCATCTGCAGCCAGCTACAAGCGATCACACATGTCCCGTTGTCAGCGGCGTGGCTCCGTCCCAGGAAGAGGCATTCGGATGACGACAGGCGAACTTGTCGCTGCCTTACATCATGCATTCCTGAACATGTCTGGCCTGCGCTCCAGTCTCCGCTCCGTCTGCTTGTAATCAGCCTGCAGATCGTGGAACCCGCGGGGGGAATTGTTTGACCGACGCGCGTGGTTATGGAAATGCTACGCAGGTGCTGAACTTATGAACGCCGCAGTCTGGCTCTGCACACCACCACATCTTGGGGGGGGGGGGCTGAAATTATGGGGAATCCAAAAGTTTACAGTTATGACCAATAGGGTGACAACTGTCTACCCTGACTTTGTACAGATTTCCTCTCACTTCCTGTTATGTCTCTAGGACAGGAAGTGAAAGGAAATGGCTTCAATTAGACACAGCAAAAACACAAAACAAAAATGGCTCCACATGGGTGTAATGCAGTCCTACCACAATTTCTGTCCTAAGGTGACAGCGATGAGTTTTATTAAATTTACTGTATCTATAGAGGAGTACCGTTGTCACCGTAGGACAGGAAGTGTGTGAGGACTACAGAACTCCTTCCCCTATGTTATGGGAAAGAGAAGAGCTGTAGTACAGTCCTAACACACTTTCTGTACAGGGTGGCTTTGCCATAGATACAGTATAGTGAATTATACTCAGTGTTGTCACCTTAGGACAGGAAGTGTGTTATTAATTCAGAACACCCCTCCCATCTCTTTGCCATAACATAGAGGGGGTGTTCTGTAGTCCGAGCACACTTCCTGATAACACTGTAGTCCTAACACACTTCTTGATAACACTGTAGTCCTTACACACTTCCTGTCCTAGGGTGACAAGGACATAGATACAGTATAGTAAATTATACTCAGTGTTGGCACCTTAGGACAGGAAGTGTGTTATTCATCTAGAACAACCCCCGTCTCTTTGCCATAACATTGGGGGAAGTGTTCTGTAGTCCTAACACACTTCCTGATAACACTGTAGTCCTTACACACTTCCTGACCTAGGGTGACAAGGATATAGATACAGTTTAATAAATGCTACTCAATGTTGTCACCCTAAGACAGGAAGTATGTAACACCCCAACCCTCTCTTTGCCATAACATGGGGGACATGTTCTGTAGTCCTAACACACTTCCTGTCCTAGGGTGGCAAGGACATACATACAATACATTGCACGATACTCAGCGTTGTCACCTGCGGACAGATAGTGTGTTAGGTCTCCCCTCTCTTTGCCATAACATGGGGGACATGTTCTGTAGTCACAGATAGTGTGTTAGGGCTCCCCTCTCTTTGCCATAACATGGTGGAGGTGTCCTGTAGTCCTAACACACTTCCCGATAAAATTGCAGAACGCCCAAAACAGAGCTGGATTTCCGGCAGGATCAAACGCGTCTTTTTCTGAGCTCGTCAGACACAAATAACAAAAACGATTTCAAATACATTCTTAAGAGACCATAACGGGGTGAAGAAGAGAGTCCCCTTGCTGGGGTGTACATGCCCTTTAAGTGCAGACATCAGCCATCAGTGCGGCTGTTATAACTAAAAAAACTGGCAGGAAAAATATGAAACATTTTTGGCATTAAACAAAAACAACTAAATCCGGCATTTCTGAGAGCGAAGCGCGCAGCGGGCGGATGGCACAGACGGCGTTGGCGCTGCGCTGCTCCAGGATGCCGTGCACACGACAGAAAACATGGAGGAGACTTACATGATGCTGGTGTGGTCGGCTACCTCCGGGACGGCGTCGAGCATCAGATGCATGCACCTGACGGTGCTGCGGAAGCAGAGGCATCGGCTGGGGCACGCCGGGACCTGGCGGGGGGCGAGAAATAAGAAGAGGAGACAGTAGTACGGCCAGGGCATGGTGACAAGTGTGTGCGGCGCCGTGCAGCTCCGCCGAGCCACCCTCCCCGACTCCCAGCCTGTGTAGGAGGGGGCCGGCGGACATGTGTTTCTCATTATTGTCACTCACACCCCTCGGCTGGGACGCAGACTCCCCCACCCCCCCTAATGTGTCCCACCGAGCGCCTAATATCCTAATCTGCTTCTTGGACGCCAGTCAACATACCCCCCGCGCCGCTGCTACGCCGTTCACAAGGGATATGAATGTATATGGGACGCTGTAATGAACCAAAAACTATCTGTTACCTATAGCAACCAGGGTGACTGGTGACAAAATGGCATATGCCCCCGGTCTCCCCTCGCTGCAGCCAAAATCTAAGCACAGAGCCGAGCGACAATATCTGCGGCTTTTGCTGGTTGCCAAAAGCGCAGCGTGGCTGATATGGGCGCCTCGTTACCGCTGCAACCGAATTCAGATCTCCGACCCTTTCGTAC